CTCAACTAGCTTCGCAACTTGTATCTAGTTACTCTTGTTTTTGAGCCTTTTATATCTATTACCATTTGTAACAATTAAGATAACAAGGAGGACGTGAGTTCCTAGTCCAAGACCTGCAGAAGGGAGGATGAGGAGTGAAAAGCTAGAAACAGCGTCTCTCTTAAAATATTTTTGGCAGAAGTTCAACTGTCTGAGTTGTGACCAAGACACTTATAACGTGTGCCACCAAGCCATCCCCAGGTGTTGTGTTGTTTATATTGCCTCTCCTCTGAAACAATATTAAAAGATGATAATAAAAACCAAGGCACTTTGAACCTTGGTGTAGACCTGAAGACCAAGGAAGGTGCTACGTAGCAGTCAGCCAGCTACAGGGGGTCCATCTGCTGTCATTCTAGGGGTTCCTGACAAGCTGAAGGGACGTGGTCCGGTACATCCATCCATCCATCCATCCATCCATCCATCCATCCATCCATCCATCTAAATAACTTATATGGCCACCCATCTGACAACAGTGACTCTGGGCAGCATACAAAGATTAAAACCCAACAATTAACACAACAATTATTTTTTCTCTGTAACTCTCTTAATTTCTCAATTAAACTTGTTTGACATTCACTCTGGTTTGAGCCTGTTGCCTTTGAATTTTAGAACCTATTGGCTACTGGTTGGCCACTGACCCCAACACAAGATATGGGATAGATACTTGAGCCTTTATGGATGTTCTCAGGGAGGGAATTGGAACCACTAAGCCAAACTAAATATCAAAAGAAGATATATTCTAGGACATTTTAAGAAATTACATAGTAACAGCCCTGATAGCAAGAGTTCATAGAATCATGTGGTTGCTGGAACCTTGCAGGTCTAGTTCAAGCTCCTGTCCACAGCAGGAACCCTGATTCCATCCCAGACACATGGCTACCCAAACTTTGTCTGAAGACCTCCAGTAATGGAGCACCCACCACACCCAGAGGCAGATTGTTCCATTGCTTAGCAGCATTGTGGTCAGGCAATTCCTCCTTATTTCAAATTTGGATCTTCCTCCCTTCCACCCATTGGTTGTTGTCCTACTCTCAATCTATACCCCCTTCTCTTTGATAGCCCTTGTAGTATTGGAAGACTGCTATCATGTCTCTCCTTAGCTTTCTCTTCTTTAGGCTAAACATACCCAGTTTCCTTTAACCATTCTTCATAGGATCTAGTTTCCATGCCCTTTACCATCTTTGTCACTTTCTTTGCACTCTTTCCAGTTCCTCGGTATCCTTCTTGCACTGGACACAGTATTCCAAATGTGGAAGTTTGTGAGTCACCCCCAGAGGAAAATTTGAAATTGATTATACAGCTCCAGCAACAGGGACCATCTGTTGATTCCCTTGGTCCTTAAGTTACAGTACATGGTGCCAGCCCTCCTTCTCTCAGCCTCCTGTTTTCTTTGGAATAATCAGTCTTCCTTCCTGCGTTCTTTCTGAAGATATCCTTTTGTCTTCCTACAAATCAGCCCCTTGCCAGAGGAGTGGAAGACAGCTGATGTAACCTTTAATAAACAAAGGTATCCAGGGAAGACCCAGGAAATTGTAAACCAGTCAGCTAAATCTCTGCTATAGGCAAAGTGATAGAAAAAGTCATGAAATAAAAAGTAAGCTCACAGAAGAGCAAGTATTGCTTGAACAATCAGTATGGATTCTACAAAGGTAAATCCTGCCTCACCAATCTTCTAGAGCTGTTTGGGGCTGTTAGCTGCCATGTGGAAGTAGCTGATTGCCAGCATTGGAAACTTAGATTTTCAAAACTTGACAACATTCCTCATCAAACCCTTTTGAATAAATTTAACAGTCATAGGATAAAAGGGCCCATTATTTAATCCATTATTTAATGGATTGCTGTCTGGTTAACAAGCAGAAAGTAAAGAGTAAGAGGAAATGGACAGTGTTTGCAATGAAGGGAATAAGAAGTGGAGACCCTCAAGGATTTGTGCTGTTCAAAAATTTTATCTTGTTCACAAATTGCCTGACCTGATAAAACAGGACTATTTTTAATCTTCTCATTCTTGAGAAAAGATAAAGGTAAAATCTCCTTTGAATAAAGCTTGAATCTAGATACATTCATGTGGTCAGAGAACAGGTTCATATCTCCCATTGAAAGTAATGGGTTGGAAGCCACAACTCCCTTGCAGAAAGCAAGCTGGGAGATGGAGGAAAAGAGCCTATGCTAGTGTTCTCCAGGTGTGTTGCTGCATTCATGAGTCAAAGAATTGTGCTTTATATTTATAGTAGGAAACGTAGCATGAGACAGTCAATCAATATCTTAGCAAACAGGGTCTTCTGTTAACAATCCTGCCTGAATAATTCAACAAAGGCAGCAAAGGTTGTTAGTATTAGCATTCTTACTTATCAAAAAGCCTATTTGACAAAATATTGCTTAAATAAGGAAAAATGCTCACATGCTTATAGATGACATTAATAAGGGGGGGGTGTGGGGGGGCAAAAAGAATATATTTCTGAAGCTCAAAAGGGCATGCTTTGTGGAGCTATCGATAGGCAATAGATCCCTTTTTCAAGTCTTATCTTCCGTGGGCCAGGACTCAAATGTGCCAGACACTTCCAATGTTCAACACAGATTTCATCTGTGCAATTTTCTCTGAGATTTATGTGGGCTTCCAGTCTTTTTGTCCCATTATATTTAACAGATTTGTTAGATTGATTGCTTACATGTTTCTTTTTTTCTTTTTCTTTTTTGGGAGAATCCTTATCAGAACACCAGTGCAAAAAATTTTCACTCATCAACAAAAGGAGGGTGGTTGAATGTTCTTCTGTCATCTTCATGACATGCAACTTTAACGTGAATTGCTGACAACTGTTGCCACTTGAAACACTAAAGGGCTCAATTTTTGGATTTATTTTCTAGGTCAAGGGAAAGGACTTAAGCATGAATGGAGTTGTGCAAAATAACAATAGGGCCCTTTAATAGTGCAGGTGGAAACAGTTGTAAACAACCTTGCCATTTGATTTTTAGCAATGTATTTTGAATTATCTTTGCAGAGGGAGATGAGAATATGTTAGTAATAAAGGTACTAGGAAACTGGGCACCCCTGCAGAAATCACTGATGAAGTTACAACAGAATAGGTTTTATATATTTTGCGCACTCTGAATCCCTGCTGCTGTTATTGTTATGCTAACTTTGTGTTGTGGACGGAATGCCGCTGCTGAAGTTGGGCCACTTCTGCAATGAGTCATAAACCATTTGTTTATGGTTTTCTTCGTTCTGCCTAAACAAACGTATTAATTTATTAAATATATAAGTACAATAAAAGAAAAAAACAAAGAAGGAATAAACATGTAAAAAGGGGAAAAAATAAATTTACAACCATTGTAAAATTAGCATAAAAGCTTTCAAATGACATGAATATATATCTGTATGTTAGAATGCTTTATATCAATCTGATGCTTTACCTCAGTACTAAAATATGTCAGTATTGAAATCAGATTATGGTGCAATAAATTACAGCTGTAATTAATATAACTCAGATCAATAAAGCAAGATAAAGATTTGCAGTCATTTCTGCTTAATCTAGGAAATTTGGCAAATTTAACAGATTATTTTAAAAAATGAGTATTATAATCTTAGGTTAGGGAAAAGCCAAACTTTCGATGTAGTATGAACCCATTTATAAGATTATTGTCCAAAACTATTTCATTGGTTTAGATTTATATCTGAACTAGATTATTCTGTCAAGCATGGTAAAATTAGCCAATGAACATACATAGCTGTATGCTCTCCTTTGGGACTAGTGGTTTAATTTTTGTCTACTGCTTTTTATATATTCATATTGATTATGTTTATATTGTTTTTTTTAATGTAACTTATTCTGAACTCATTGTATGTGTGTAAACAACATTTAAATTTAGGCTTGGGTTCTTCAGAAAAGAACCTCATACAAGGGTGTTTTTTCCCGTCCATTTCTCTTCTGCAGTTACCTATATCCTCCTGAAAAAAAATCCTGAACAGCTGAAGAGACACATCCTGAATAATGTAAAATAGGAGGTGAAGGAGGAGAGAGGAATTGCCAAAACTGGCTGAGGGCAGTCAAAGCAGCCCTCCATTCTTCCAGGAGCCTCTGCAGCTTTACACCATAATCCAGGGGGATTTGGATATGGGAAGGTCAACTGGATGCACAAGGGCTTTTGGGGCTTTTTGGTTTAAGATACCTGTGGATCCAAGCCTAAGGAGGCCAATAAATATTTGAGCAATGTGATGGAATGTTTACAATATTCAGTTAAGGTTTAGGAAACCAAATTCAGGTCTACTCTCATTATGAAAACTCCAGGACCAGTCATCATCTCTCAGCTCAATCAGGGTGATAGTTGTGCAGAAAGGTTGGGACATAGGAATGTTGTGTGCATCATCCTGAACTTTGGGGGGAAAGATAGGCATAAACAATATCCAGTTTTATTTATGATGTTTACAATATCCTGTTTTTAAAAATACTTAGATATTGTAAACCACTTTGAACACTTTGGAAGAAAAAGTACAGAAGAAATAAGCCAGTAAATAAAAGTGCCTGTTGAGATATTGTGCCAGCAAGAAAGAGGTAATTTTAATCAAGAGATTAATTACTGTCTTTCCTCTGCAAGTCTAAATATGTTTGGCTATTGAATTGAATAGGACTTCCTAATAAGTTTACTTCAAACCATAACCTGAATTTTAATTCATAATTAACAAGCATACATTACATAAATTACATATATATTGTGGCATCAGCTCTGCTTATGGTCACATTTTCTTCATATATCTTGCACATGAAGGGAGGTTGACTTGATACAATGAGCTGGGTTAAGAAAGTGAAGTGACCAAAACGAAGAGTCCCAATTATGCTGTAAAGTGAGGGTTGTTCAGGAATTCAGTATTTGTTCTCAGAAGGGGGTGCTGTTACCTCATTTAATTTTCTGTGTGTGGTATGTTAAAATATTTGGAAATCTACTCTTATCAATTTTGTCTTTATTAGCTTTTCTGCACTGGTGTCTAAGTTGGATTGCTTACAGCCCTGTGCAATTCAGGTTTAGTCAGAAATAGATCCCACTGAATTCACTGACACTTGATTCCAAGTAAGTTTGCCTAAGAGTGCATCAACTTTTTTTTTTTTTGCTTTTAGCTGGGGTGTATTTTTTCCTTCAGCAATTCCATTATTCAGTTGAAATCCATGGATGAAAAAATATAGTGAAGTCTGAATAGGTTTTAAGCAATGAGAAACACTGAAAAATAATAATAACATTGCATGAGTGCAAACCTATTAAAGCCAATTCTGGTATCTTGGGAGTACGCATACACATAAAAGTCTGCCTAACGGTATAATCCAAATCTAAACCTTAGGAAGCTGCTTTATATATATTGTGCTAATCCATACCCTTTTAAACAATGGTTTGATGACTGAGTTACAACTGGTTGGGTTCACACAATATATAGACACACACACACATACCATAGCCATAATTTTAAAACCACAATAAAACCACAAACCACAATTCACACAACACACTTAATCTAAATCAAGCAAACCACATTGTGACTTAACTGCACAATATGTGAACTAAGCCACCAAGAATATTAAACTATACAAAGTATATTCATATAGGGTAGTTCAGTATGATCAGTGCCATAACAGCTCTGCAGATTTTGATGAACTGCAGTTCCCAGTATCCTTTGCAATTGGCCACGTTGGCTAAAGCTGCTGCATGCTTTGATTCAACAACTGGAGGTTCACAAGTTCTTCACTCCTAAACTATACAGTAACTGTCAGGAGCCTCCATGGTTTCAGACAGGAATCTTTTCTAACCCTATGTGGCTACAGATTGGATTACGCTTGACACCTTTTCATGCAAAGGGGTATATACTATTCCTTACTTATCTGTTGGAGTCCTTTCTGTTTGGTAGCAACAAGCCATTTACCTATTAAAAAAAAAAGAAGATGAATCAGTTGGTATTATTGGCATGTGGCACTAGAATGGTGGGTACTGTATATGCTACTTGCAAATGTGATATGAATATTTTGCTGCAAATATTTAGGTTGGGAAGTTGATGCAGCCATCTCCCTAAGTTTGGTCTGTTCACATGGGTTAAGTATCATTCACTTCTCTTTTATCTGTTACAACAAATTCATATTCAGTTGTAGGATTACATCTTAACACGAATACATTTGCATTTTTAAAAATCCTTTGATAATCAGTTCATTGTATTAATGTGCTAGGGTTGCTATTTTAAACCCATTTGGTAAGTCTTTATAGCCTGTTATGGAACTTGCTTCCAAATATGCAGAGGACTGAATTGTGAAAGTCAAATATACTATTTGACCTGGAAAGCTTAAGAACCTTCATTGTTAGTGTTTGCCAAATTTTGTTTGCCACAGTATAGCATTGTACAAATATACAGATAGAAGAGTCAATGAGGATCAGCAAATGTTATTAAAAATTGGGAAACACAGAAGGAACTGGATATGTTCTGCTAATGAAAAAGATTGCTAGAAAACAATAATGGAACAACAGATTTTTCAGGGCAACTTGAAGGTACATTGCATTATTCCTATAAAGGGTATTTTCCAGAAATGGTGTAAGAAAGATTTGGAGAAAGTAGTATTGAGAACTGTGTACAGTATTAAACAGCCCTTTCTGGTGTCTAACGCATCTTTTCCTCCTCTACAGGTACCTATAGTATGCTGGCATGCATAGAGAGCTCCTGCTTTCATGGAGTGACATGCAGAAAGATGTTGCTGCTGATGAAACTGCTCTTCTCAGCAAAATTGGGACCATCAAAATCTACTCTAGAGAACCTCATAACAGTCCAGAGTAGATTTTGGAGATAAGCAGGAAGCTTTTGGAGACAGGAGAGGAGAGCAACACTCCACTTATCCCTGGAAGCCTCAGATGTGCATGGGGGTCCTGCAATTTCAGACTGGATTATAGTATTGACTAATTAGCATCTTCCTTTTTGTCCTCTCTGGGAAATATGCAGGAACATAGCTTTGTTTTCCGTCACTGACCATCTTTTCTGTAACTCTGCACATCAGCCAAACAGTTGGTTTGATTGTTTTCCCCCTTTTGATTTTTCAGAACATGAGGAAACTGTCTATCAAGGCATTGGTTTGGCTATTTATTTGAATATTTTTATTTCAGTATTTCAATATTACTTCTTGGTATAGTTCTCCACCCCACCCCCAGTTTTCCTTCGTTCTTTAGCACAGACTAGGCATTTAATGGAGTAATAGGACTTTAGTCCCTGACAGATATCTTTATAATACATTGTTATCTGTCATTATTACAAGATTCAGTTGATTTATTTAGATCTGATTATGCAACTCCCTAAAATACTGGCACTATGCAGTGCTTCAGATTCAATTCTAACAAGGTGCTTCACACCATGAATATAGTACTTGCTGCAACTCTTTAAAGCAGATGCATCTTTTCCTGGGACTATGCTGCTGGGGAAAAGTGTGGCTGCTTTAAATCTTGCAAACTGGTGTAACTTTCATACACTCCAAAGCACCTTTTTGGAATCAAATCCACAACATTGCACAGCTATGGGATAGAAAATATCCCATGAAACATAATCTAAAAGGACTTTCAAAATCTTTTGGCCTTGTATTGGATTATAAATAATAACAAATAAAAATCTTAAGCCACAGACAATGGGGTTGGGGACTTCTTGGATTTCGAAGTAAAATTATAGGATTATTCACGTTCAATGATTTATGCAGCCTGGAAAATTTAAGCAACTTGAAAAAATATGATGATTAGCCACAAGTTCAGAGAAAACATTCTCTGCTGCTTCTCTGCCTTTTGTCCTTTGGATATCCAGCATTATTTCTATCAAGTTCCAGGTAGTGATTTTACAGTTATAGTTTATGTGAAAATTACACCTCCATGGTGGTGTTTTTTTTAAATAACTAATCAATTTGACTTCTACTTTGTGTAGTGTGTCATTGGATCATATAATAAAATATAGATGAGAGTTTATAAAGTAGTCTTTTTGCCATTAATTACACTTCAAAACAGAGGTCAATAAAACTAGTAAAAGGGCAAAAGGTTTGAAATATGCCTGCACTTAAAATTAGTCTGCGGTCTATCAGATAGAGCTATCTGCAGACATTTTATGCAGACATTTATGGATATGTAATAAAACAGAAGGTGAATTTATTTTTCTAATGTGATTTATTGCTGCTGCCAGGACTTATTCTTATATATCCATTAACAACAACAACAAAAAAAATTAGGTGGAAGAAAAACGAACTCTGGCTTTTTAAAGTGTGAAAGACGACAGGTCAGAAAAGCATTTCAGAATAATTTTACACCTTTTAACCTTAAAAAAATACTTTGCTGACAATTGAGAAAAGGCCTTAAAAGAAGTGCTGATCGGCATTCTCACAGCAGGGTTGCCATGTCCCATCATATAGCAGAGAGTTTCTGCATAATGTATCCTGTAATAAGAAGCGCGCTGCTGCAAATCGCAAGACTTGAGAAGCAGCTTTGAGAAAGTAGTCCTTGGCGTGAACTGTGATTATGGATGACACTGAAAGTTTGTCTTTTAAAACTCCTTTGTACTCTGTTTACAGCTGACTTCAGCCTTGGGAGAAAACTTCTCTATAATCAACATTTATCTGCATGTACACCTAGTATTATTTCTCAATTTTTCTCTGCTTCATTTTTATGCATGAACAGACTTCTTCAATGAACAGTGCTCAATCTAATTAAATGAATATTTCCTATTCCTTCCCATTACTCAAAATATTTGTTTTTTTGAAAATATCTAAGCTATATTCCACATTAAGAGCCCAGCCCTCAACCTTATTAAGAGAGCTACTAGTATTCAAACCAATTTCTTGATAAAATCACCCTGAAATTTATAAACAGATACACAGTATGAAATCATAGAGACATCCTTTACTACCAGAGGCCATGATTCAACTCTCTTAAGCTACTTAATTTTCTATGTTGGGAAACAAAATCTTCCACCACCAGTCTGTCCTGGTCTCCATAAACCAACTTGCTACCTTCAGGAATGGAGGAGGATCCAGAGGTTGGGTCAACAATCCCAGCTTCACTTCCTCACAGGTTCCCTCTAGTCAGGTTTTGCATAGGGAATGGAAGGAACTCCTTTTGCTCACGCAGCCAGATGTCTCGTGCTGGCCTAGTCAGATGCATTGTGATACACCTTGGGATTTTATATAGATTGGGCAACAACAGGTTTCAGCCACCAGTTCCAGCTTCTCTTCCCCCCCCCCTTGTTTGCAGTGGAACTACTAAGTGCACACACACACACGCCTCATTAAACAAAGTCAATCTGCTCCAGTTCTCTTTCTCTCTTCCCTCCACCTCCAAGCACAGAAGGCTGGCTAGAGGGCTTATTCCTCTCCCACTAGTCCATTTAACACTTAACTATATGGGGACTGAAATCTCTTTGGCAACCTAATAAAAAAAACAGTTACTACAAGCTGCACAGTATGCTGGCCTCCCATCACAAAGTGTCCTCTTGCAAGAATTAGAAGAGGTACAGAGTTACAACACTTGTGCTGCCTGGGGCAGGCACCCAGGCTCAGGGCCAGTATCTAGTGTGATGCCTCTCTTGGGGGCTTGAGGAACCAGGAAGAACAGGAAAAATTGAACTAGGTTAGCTAGATAGCACCCCTAGTTACCTATTCTTTAGACAAGCAAAGTTAATGCTCATACACAGAATGGTTTCATTAGTATCCTGTGGGAGGCTAAAATGGAAAGAGAACAGATGTTTTAATATGCTTTATGTTTATTGCTATATTTACAATATAACTTTTTACTAATAGAAGGTAATACATGAAGCTCAGGGTTGACCTGTGGAGTGCTTGGTGCTCTCTGAGTTTGGTTGTTTGCAGACATTTCATTACCCGACTAGATAACATCATCAGTGCGAGTGAGTGTGGGGTTTGCTCCCTGTTTATATACAGTAGCTTGCCTTACCTGTGTTGGTGGGGGTATGGTTTTCTTCCTGGTAGTTCCCTGATTTGGATATTGTTTTCTGCTTGATTGTTTGTCTCCTTGGTAGTTCCTTGATTAGAGTATTGTTTTCTGCTTGATTGTTGTTTGGTGTTAATCTATGCTTATCTGGTGTTGGCTGCTAGAGAGGATTGTTCTGGTCTTTTTGTTTCCTTCTTAGCTTTCTTATTGTCTCTTTTGAATGTAATGTAGTGTCTAGAAACTATAGCACGCCCACACATACAACCAAAAGTATGGATCCAGTATGTAGTTGACACCTTCGTCATAATAAAAAAGGAACAACTAGAGAAGACACATGAAACAATCAACAACA